ATACAGTCAGACCTCTCTAAGTGCACGCCCTTGGGACCACAATTTTATAACATGCATATAGAGAATAATAAGAAAAGTGCATTTATAGAGGTCAGGTATATATTTGGGCTGGCACTTGAGCGTGCATTTAAAGAGGATGTGCACTTATAAAGGGTGCACTTAGAGAGGTCTGACTGTAGTAACTAAATTATATAGATTAAACGTATCCTATTAGTATTTTTATTCCTGGTTTTAATGAACGACGTTGCGTTGTACAACCATCTAATATATATTGAATTTTACTTGCATATCTGATCGTACTGGTTCTGCGTGGCGTCGCACGCCGCGCAGCTATCTTATATATGTAAATTTAAATTTTTTTTTATGGTTAACTTGTTTGATTTACATACGTAATGTATACTTGTTGGCAAAACTCATGGGATTTGGGATTTGTCCATGGACAAACCCAGACAAATGGGATTGTCCAGCCATGTTTGAAAATCCCATATGGACAAATTCCAAATCCCATCCCAAATCCCAAATCCCATCCCAAATCCCAAATTTCATCCCAAATTCCAAATCCCATCCCAAATTCCAAATCTCATCCCAAATCCCAAATCCCATCTCAAATTCCAAATCCCATCCCAAATCCCAAATTCTATTCCAAATTCCAAATTCCAAATCCTATTCCAAATCCCAAATCTATTCTAAATCCCAAATTCTATTCTAATTCCGATTATCATACAACTTTTATAAATTAGATTGATAAAAAATAACAAATTCGTAGATAACAGATAAAAAACAAATATGCTGTAACACTCGAGATTGCAATGATATACTGTATTATTATATAAAAATATTGTTCACTTTATTCTTTTTTCAAAATAAAGTTTAAAGATTTTTTTTTTTCTTAGCGTTCTTAAACATTAATCCTGCTATATAGTAATTCGGCCTTTTTTTTTTTACACCATTTTAAACCAATTTTACAACAGGCTTTCTTCTATTTTTTTTTTTTTTTTTGCATTTTTTTAAATTTTTTAAATTTTTTTTTAGTTTTTCTTTTAATTTTGCTTAAATGGAACATGCGGCAAATAACGAATATGTAACAAATAATGAATATATGGCAAATAACGAATATGCAGCAGATAATAAATATGCGGCAGACAATGAATATACGGCAGACAATGAATATGTAGCAAATAATGAATATGCAAATAACAATGAAATTTCTAACAATTTAGCCAGCGAAACTGGATCGTCATCTGTACAAACTGAGTCATCAAATAATAGTAGACAGCCCCTAACAGATATATGGGAAGAGTATGATAAAATAGATAATGGAGCGAGAAAATACAAAGGAGCAAGTTGCAGATATTGTGATCAGAAGTGGGCTCGAGGAAGAGCTTATGATATGAAATCCCATCTTGCAATAAAGTGTAAGGGGAAAATACCTAGAGAAATCTGGTTTAAAGTACTTCAGGAGCTTCAAAGTGAGCATGTGTTGTCTGAATTAACAACTTCCAAAAAAAGAAAATCAGTATATTTTCAGTTGCCCGTAGATGCCTATTACGATACAAAAGAAGCCATTGACAAAGCTAAAGAAACAAGAGCTAACCAATCACTGGTTAAATGGATTGTGAGCTCTGGTATTTCATTTTCTGCCTTTGATAATCCTTACTTTGAAGATTATACCAAGGAATTAAATCCCGGTTATAATCCACCTAAGCGTGCCGCCTTATCAACATCAATTTTAGATGCAGAAGCAGCAAATATCATAATAAAAATAGAACAGGAGTTGTCTAAAGCCAAGAATCTAACTTTATGCATAGATGGTTGGTGCAGCCCATTGAAACATAGTATTTATGCTTTTGTCATAATAACAAGTGAAAGAAAACAATATGTTTATTCTTTACAAGATTTTTCGAAATTACCCATACTTCAAAGTTTAATGCTGAGAGAATACTAGAGGTATTAGAGAGAATCGGTCCAGAAAAATTTACAGCGGTAGTTTCTGATGCTGAATCGTCAATGATAGCAACCAAATGACAAGTTGCACAAAAATATCCGTATATCTTACCAATAAAATGCATTGCGCATCATATCCAACTTATCTCTAGCAGCATCTGTAAGTTACCTCATGTGAAGAAAATCTTGTCTAATTGTCAAACAATTATAAGCTTTTTTAGGAATTCCTATTCTGCTAGCGCTGCTCTTAGAGAAGAAATCATATTTTCTCTTACACTTGGCGGAAATTTGAAGTCACCAACTAAGACTCGGTGGTCAACGGCATGGGATTTCTGTGAATCTATCTTATGTAATGAAGCAAACATTAAATCGGTAAAGTTTTATAGTTCTGTTCTTATATGTAATAATACTGTAATATCCCTGAGCCGTTGGGTATAAGTGGAAACGAAGTTTTTACTTATACACATACAAATTATATATCTGTGACCTTGATATAGTAATCAGAGTATTTAATATAAAATATTATTTCATTTCACTCTTATTTTAATTATTCTTTATTAATTTGTTAATAGGTTTTAGAACAACAACCACAAATTTTTATTCGTGCAAGTGCCGTAAAAAGTCTGATTAATGATCGTCAATTTTGGATTGATGTTGAACAACTTAGGAACATTCTCGGCCCAGTAAAACGAGCTGTAAAAAACGTAGAGTTTCGAACCACCATATTAGCTGACATATTTTTTGAGCTCGTAAAAATGGCAATCGCAATCCAGGAGACTTCTGTCTTATATAATAGCCAATTTCGGTATGATTGCATCGCTATATATAATAAGCGATGGAAAGAATTTGACTTTGAATTGTATCTTTTATCTTTTTTTTTGCACCCAACTTACCGTGGTATTTAGAAGTTAATATGTATTAGTTCACTTTATTTTTTTATTTTTATTTTTTTATTTTTTTATTTTTTTATAATAGGCGATTTTCTTGAAGTTGGAATATATAAAAATTATGTTTTTAGAAAGGCAATGGAAATATGGAAGAAAATAGGTGGAGGCGACATAAGTGCTGGCATTCTGAAATTTCAATTGAATTTATACAAAAATCACAGGTCCCCTTTTGAAGATGAGTTTATTCCATCTACTGATATGGTTACTGATTGGTGGATGTCTGTTGAACTTAAAAGAAATGAAGATCATATAAAAACTCTTGCCCTAAAAGTACATTCAATTTTACCTCATAATGCTGCCTGTGAGCGAGTCTTCAGCATATTAAGCTGGTATCTTGGAAAAAGATGAACTAAGTGTGTTGATTTTTTCTCTTTTTATTGTATTTTTTTTATTATTACTAAAATGCTATTTTTTTTTTTTTTAGATTAAGCGTTGAAAGTCTAGAGGTTATGACTCAGATGCACTCATTTTTAGTCGAGAATGCTAAATCAGAACTCAATTACGTGGATCAAAAGCTTCGCCAAGAAGATCTATTGTCTATTTTTGATAGAATTACAAGTTCTATAGAGGATGAGACTGATTTATTTAGTGAAGAAGAATCATATTCTTTTTTGGATGAGCTTGCAGAAGAAAATATGAAAGAAGATGAGGAAGAACTGGAAGATTTAGTTAACGAAAATTCGACAAGCTTAGAAGTTGGAAATTTAATATCTTTGTCTTCCAAGTTAGAGTTCAATGAATCTTCAAGTTTAAACGAAGAGGTTATACATGGAAATAAGGATTTTGATATCAATGATCTTATTAATGATTTAGATTAATTATACATAATTCATACAAAAGCCAGAAAATATATGTAGGGGAGCACTTACAGATTTAATCACTAGAAATTAAACAAATAATGCATCTATGTTAAAAAGTGTAACTTATCTCGTGAGCGAGAAAGGGCTTGTGGAATTAAATGAATTATTAAAAATAATAATGCATTATCAGAACAATGTAATTTTTAATAGCCATACTATTTCAGTTATTCTTCATTTATTACAGTGCAGTAAGTATTCACTTTTTTTTTTTTAGTTGAATTATCGTAGGGTAAAAATATTGTTTGACTTGTCTGACCAATTTTATTAACCCGCTAAAAAAAATTTTTTCGACCATCCACAAGTAATCTTTTTATCCTTTAGCTACACCAGTTATTATATGTTTTAATTTATCTTGGCCAATAACTATACCCGATGATTAATAACATCTTCCAGGTTATAACTTCTAAATTAGTAACACCCTTTCTGTATACATGTTCAATATTGACTCAGTGTATACTGATGAATTTATTTAAGGTAGGTCAATAAAAACATAAAATTTTTCGCTTATTGTTGATTACTATATATCACATTAATCCTTAAGTATTCTTTTAGGATAAAATCGAGTAAAAATTTTACAATCTACAAATAATAACTGTTATCCGCACGATTTTCAACACTTCATTTTAAGAAAAAAAAAAAGAAAGGATAACAAATGAAACTGTATATTTTTTACCAAAAGATTTCAAACGCTTTATTCTATTCTATACTAAAACCAAATTTGTCTATATTCATTCCTGATAAAAGTACTGATACCGCCTTTTATACGCTATCCTCGTAGATGAAATTTACACCTAATGACATCTGTGAACAAATTTCAAAGCTTGCAAATGAAGGTATGACACCCTCGCAAATTAGTGTGCATCTCCGAAATTCGTGTGATTTTGGACTAGTTAAAAACATTACTGTGAATAAGATTCTTCAAATCTTGAAGTTTAACGGTATGCACTCGTTTTTTTTTTTTAATAATAATAAAAGAAGAAAGTTTGATGATTAACTTATGCTGTTGAATTATTTCTTTTAAGATCTTAGCACCCGATGTTCCTGAAGATCTTTATCATTTGATCAAGAAATCGGTTTTCATTCGTAAGCACTTGGAGTGTATCGTAGTGACAAGGACTCTTAATTTTGATTGAATCATGAATTCACCGTCTTGCCAGATTCTATAAAACAACAGGACAGCTTTCTCCAGATTGGAAATAGTATCCTTAAACTTATTCTTTATATTTATCTGGGATTTGTCTTTCAGTTATGCTACGTGTAATATACTTTATTGTGTAGTATGACGTCACTGGAGAATAACTGAGGCAAATTACAGATCTATTGATAAAGGTTTAACGGTTAATGTAAAGATTTAATTCCTAGGGAATTCAGATCTCTACATTTATTACCCGTAGTTTGCCATGTAAACCATTTCTATTTCCGTTGTTAATAGTTTTTTTTTACAAATAAATATTGAGCGGAATGTAACAGACCATGTAGGTTTAATGGCAAATTACAGTATAACAACGATATTATCCTTAATTCTTTTATAGCAAATGCTATATGATCACATTCAAGTTCGATCAACGCTAATATACTTTTTTTTCTGAATAAATTTGATAGAGAAATTTTTGTTGAGGCAAGGCAGCGTGGTAAGCCTGGTGCAAATACCTGTAAACCTTTATCGGTTATTTGAAACTGCAAAATCAAAATGTCGAACAAATTTTTAATTAAACTATACTTGATGGGATGTGAGTTGATCTTACGTGTACAGCTGCATTTATTATTTTCGTAACTTAAAATAAATGCTAGAAAGGTTAAATTACATTGAGAATTATGCCATTCTGTTCATCAAAAGTGCCCTTTCTTATAGTACCCAGTAAATAAATCTACATTTCTTGTTCACAATATAAGTGAATATTTTTACGAAGCTTTTTTTTTTAAAAAAAAAGCGAAACTGGGTTCGATTGATTAAAATTGTAAATTTACTTTATACTTTCTAAATAATGATGATACATTCGAATTCAAGTTTACATCAACTTTATAGCGAACTGGATAGTTTAAAAAAAAAAAAAGGTTTTCCGAGATTAACACTTACCATACTTAATTGATATAAAATTTAAATCTTTACTGCTTATAATAAAAATGATCATTTTTACAGAATTGACTATAGATTCATATTATCGATGTAAACCGGGATTTAGTAGATTCCCAAAGGTTTCAACAATTGTGTCATAACTGCATTATAACCCAAACTTATGTATCACTGGCTAGAGCGCGAGTCATAAGGCAAATAAATTGTTACTGCCTAGTGACCCGTCTGCACTATGTTTATTTTGTCCTGGTTTGGGTTTCAAATTGGGTTTGGAACATCGATAAGTGTCGACTCCCGGACCCAAATTAGATAAACTGTTCTATTCGGGTTTGGTTTACATCGCTAATCTATACACGTATGCACATGATAATAGTTATATATTCGACAATTTTGATTTGGGATTTGGGATTTGGGATTGGGATTTGGGATTTGGGTGGGATTTTAAAGTTTTTAATTTTGCCAGCATGTATAACGTAATGAGTCCTATTCTATAAATGGAATCAGTAAAAATCTAAGCCTCTCTATATCGATACAATATGCATAAACTGGTAGTACTGTACATTTACGTAAAGATCTCAACGTTAAATTATAAAAGTGAAGGATCTAGAATTCTCTCATTGCATAGAAATACGTACTGTACGTACGTACATAAACCACCAAGAATAATTTGTACGTATTTTAATAACTATTATATCAGATATACACTACTGAAACTTAAAATAATTCACTACTGAATTCAGCTTATTTCCATTGCGTTAGTTGATACGTATAAGTGATTGGGTTTTTTAGACTTCCTCATCGTATACCGAATCATGAAAAATGATCTTACAATGTTTTGAACAACTTTCTCAAGACTTTACACAACTTTTAGAAAGTGAATACGACTATAATGTAGTAATTGAAGTCGGTGAACATCCCAATATTAAAAATTTTAAAGGACATTCGACAATTTTATACCAACGTTCATTATACTTTCGTCAAAAATTTTCAAATGCGGTTAAGAAAAATAATGTTATCGAAATTAAGTTACCTCATATTTCTGTCAAATTATTTGATATTATTATTAAGTAAGTATTGCATAATAGAATAATATCGATATAAAATTATAATTATCAAATTTTATTAATTTTATTAATGCATATGATAATAGATATATTTATGGCGGTATAGTTTCTTTGGAAAATTTTGAAGTTTCGGCCATATTTAATTTATTAATCGCTGCTAATGAACTTAAGCTTATAGAATTGACTAAACGTCTTCAATCTCACCTAATTGATAATCATACATCTTGGATTCGTTTAAATTTTTCTCGTGTTTTTCAAATTAGTTTCCTTGATGAATTTTTTGAACCTTTACAACAATTTTGCAATAATATTATTGCCAAGCATCCAAGCACGATTTTTAATTCTGAGGAATTTACCACTCTTCAAGAAAATGCTTTAATTTCTCTTTTAAAGAATGATGATTTACAAATGGAAGAATCAGAAATTTGGGATAAAGTTATTTTATGGGGAAAAGCGAAAACCCCAAATTTACCACCTAATCTCAAGGAATGGTCCGATGAAAATTTTAAGTCTTTGAAAACTGCCATTCAACATTGTCTTCCTCACATTCGATACTTTCAAATTCCTGGTAAAGAAATCTTTAAAAAAATTAAACCTTATCATAAAATTCTTGAAGTGAATGTATGGGATGATATTGTTTCAAGGTCTTTAGACTCAGATGCACCTATTACTTCTCCAATTTTACCTCCTCGTAAAAAAGCAACGGTACAACTTCCTCCTCGAAACGTATCTGTTATTATACCATCTTCCTCCATAATCACACTACAACATGCAGCAGAGATTTCATCGTGGATTGATCGATGTTCGACAATTTATGATACTACAGAAATTCCATATGAATTTAAACTTTTACTTAGAGGAAGTAGGGATGGGTTCACAGGTGAAGTATTTCATAGACGATGTGATAATATACCTGGTACTGTGGTTGTTGTAAAAATTAATAGCACGAATGAAATACTTGGTGGTTATAATCCTCTTATCTGGAAGGTTTCTAATCATAAATCTGGATATGAATATGCAACAACAGCTGATAGCTTTATTTTCTCTTTAAAAAATGGAAATTTAAATGAATCTATTCTTAGTCGTGTTAAAAATACATCAAGGGCAATTTGTTATGGTGCCTCCATATCAATTGGACCATGTTTTAGTAATAATGACCTTGTAATGAGAGATGATAATGGTTCTAAACCATGGCACTGTAAAAAACATGTATATGATAAGCCAATAACAAACACAAATGGGTGGTTTACTATAGATGAATATGAAGTATTTCAAATTTGTAAGAATATTTAACAGCTTCGTTGTTAATTTGAATTACTAAACTACAGTATTAATGTATAAGATATATATTTAGTGAATATTTCTTTTAAGTCGCTAATCTACTGTATTTTAAATATTTGATATCGTACCTAAAAAACTTTCTTTTTTTAAAAAAAAACTTGCAACTCAATCTTATGGTAAAAGGCACCATCTATGAACAAAATTTTTTAATTCATTATCATATTATACTTTGTTTGCAACCCAAATTATTGGCATACGGTTGGCACCACTTTAAATATTTATTCGGAATATCGATAATATTGATGCTCTTTTCCAATAATTACGAATATGCAGGAATGTTTATAATATACGAGATGAATTTTAGAATACGATTACAGTGAATTGGTATGCCGCATACTAGTGACCATGACCATGTACATTTCTTATGTAATCAATTTGATAAATTTCATAAAGTTTCTTTGATCATGTAACAACTATAATTGTACTTTAACATGAATGGCTTTAAAACTGTTGATAAAATAGTAGATACATATAAGCAT